GACATGCCATTGTGGCATGATTGTAGATTAAAAAAAAATAAAAATAAAAATAAAGATTTAATAAAACAACAAAGTATCCAAAATCCCATTCACTTATATATCCCAATTGAACAATCAACAAAAGCTCACTGGGTATTCACTTAATATAGGGATTCTGAAACTATTAGTAAAAAACAAAAACATGCAAGGAAAAGTAATATATATATATTACAAGAGAATACAAAGGAACTTACCCCTAACTTTATACAGTGGCTACTCAATAAATAAATATATTTTTAATGTATATAATTGCACTTTCCACAGTTCTATATAATAGACTATATAAGTATCTGTTAGTCACACTTTTAGAAGCTTTAGTAATATACATTTAGGTAAACTTTTATGAAAAATTTAAATATCATCATATAGTACACAACAATATCTCAATTTTGAACCTAATATACAGTATAATCTTCTCCAGCAACATCTATTCAAATAATCATCAATTCAAATCAACATAAACTCATGAAATTACAACAATATATTCACATAACTAATATTTTTTTTTTTAATCCGCAATTATGCCATAATGGCTTGTATTTATTGAAAAATAAAAGTAAATCTATAAAAGTTTATAGACTTTTACAAAGTAACTAACTCATCTTCATACATAAGTACTCTAAGTCAGATTTTGAAGACAATATTACATTTCTTTGATACCTCTATCAACCAGGATTATTGTTAACAGTTTGTCATTGTTAATTGCCTGAAAATCAATAAATTGTTAAGTTAAAAAAGGAGAAAGAGGAAAATAATTGAGGAAAGGGGACAATTCAAGACCAATCAAAAAAATCCAAAAATAAAAACAACCTCTTTTCAAAAAGAATCTGCCTGATTGGATAGTCTTCTTGCTTTACTTAAATCTTAGAAGAAATCTTCTTTTTCATCACTTGCAGTATCAGATAAGTCAATTCATTTAAATGAGCACTAGATTAAAATATCTCAAGAAAAGCATTTAGACCTCAGATTTTTTTCATTAAAGCTTTATCACCCCTTGAGGAACTTAGATAAGAGACATGAGTTTGCAATTAATATTACTTATCACTTGATCTTTTGATGTCATAGAAGTTTTCATTATGGGACTTGAGTTTTTGAGGAAATATTTCCAGAACTTTCTTTCTAATTACAAATTACATCATTGGAACATATAAATGTGACCAATAGAAGCTTGTTTACATTTCAAAAACAAATATGTTTTATGTTAGTCAATCACCTTTAGTGAGGATTCCCTAGAAAATGTGAAAGTGGGAGCTGTAAGAGAGTCAAAACAGTCAAAAAATAAAAAATAAGCCTTTTTACTACAGAAAACCTCTATAAATCTCTTACTTCAAAGGTTGGATAGGCCTTCAGATACTTTACAGTCAGTTCTTCTTTCTTTAGGAACTTTCTTGCTATTGGTATCAGTTACTAGAAATTAAGTTTTTGATGTAAACAAAAGGGAAAGATAGAAATGACTCTTGAAGTCATATTTCAAGTTGTTTTAAGAGAAGTATTAAGACTTTATTAGCAAAGAAGTATAAAAACTTCTTGCAAATATCTTTTTTGTATGAGATCAAAGAATTAGTGAAAAGAGTTTTTTCATCTATAACCAATATCATATTAATACAATACCAATTATAGTCTATAAAGATGAATCACTTTTCATAGTAAACATCTGATCATATATGGGTTTCAGTTAGATTTTGGGTGACAACACACAATTAACTTATATTTTCAAGGGATGGATCCCAGATCCACTATCCTATACTCACCCTAATACTTGCAATTTTACACAATTCTTTAATAAACATCTATACAGACAGCCAAGTAACAATCCAAGCAATCCACAAAGCAGAGAAACTGGTACCAAACAAAGCAGTTCATACTATCCAATTGGTCTATTGTGCTTGATATTTAGCATAAAAGCAAACAATTTAAGATTCAATTTAATCTATACAAAGTAAAAGCTCACACAGGTATAGCAGACAATAAGTTGACAGACCTTTTAGTGAAAATTGATCACATTAACATGATACCAGAAGCAAGAAAATTGACACCCACTCCTATAATGACAACATTACACTGTTATTCAAAATGGAGACATAATACTATAGATACTTCAATAAAAGACTTCATTAAATTACTTTTTCATACCAAACACATTACAAAATAGAGATTATTTAGAAGAAATAGAGTAAGGATAAAAACAAGATGATAAACTAGAAGATCACATTTAGATATATTAATCCCAGCAACATAAATCACAGCAATACATCTTTACTGACTAATATAACAGAAAATTCTCAAGTAATCTCTGGAACAATGAATTGTCCACATTTAACAAACTTTACAATTGCAAACCTTATGTATATACTAATAACAAATGCATCATATGTTGTAATAAGGAAACCAACACACATCCCTTTATTTGTTTCACTAGTATACAAACACAACATGACAAAATATTTAAGACACTCAAAGTTAATCTCAAGAATTTTAACCTATCAAAAGAATTACACTCTTTACTAATTACAATTTGAAGCCTATCATATAATATCTTAAATGCAAAAATTATTTATCTCATTCACGGTATTACCAGAAAGGTCTTCATATAGCCTATCACAGAATTTATACAATTCAAAATTAAAGTTTGCCAAGTAATATATCAATCATTAAATACATACAAATCTTTCTTACAAACACTATGAAAAGACAGATACACAAAAGGTGAACAATGGGAAAGGTAGCAAAAAATTTTTAAGAAAAAAAAAAATCTCATTATTATAATAAATCAAGACAACCATTGTTCATAGTTTTAGAAAATACACTAATCAAAGACATATATAAAACTTATCAATCAATCCGTAATATAGTTACTTCTTAGGAAACACAACTTCTTTTCTCTTTTCACTTTTGATTTCAACACTAACTAGTCATTATTGACATGTTAGGCCCAATAATGGATGCAACAGATCAATCAGATAGTTGAATTTGTAACCAAAAAGATAATATAAGTTGTAAATACATTGTAGCAGGCTAATCGACGAGTCTGTCGCTAATGACCAAAAGCTTGTGTAACCTGTGGCTAGAAGAGTCCGTCCTTTTATCACACACACACAAAACAATATCAAAATCAAAGCAGAGGCATAAAAAGATTTGGGCAAGTCTCAAGATAGTTTTCCTTAAAACTACTTATAACTTCACTATTATAACAATCTATCCAAAAGATTCGTCATGAGATTCGTCATTTTATTAAATTATTGAAAAAAGTTACATTTATACATTTTTACACATAGGACTATTATATAATTACTATGGCTATTCTAGTATTATGTTATGCATAAATTGCCTCTTGATCAGCTAATTTTCTATTACCTCAGCTCATAGTTTTTTACCTTTTTGATGCGAATGGATTGTTCGCACATTCTTCTAGCTTGTAAGGGGTATAGTGATAGTTGGCAATTGATTGTTTCGCGTAAGCTTTGGTCGCGTCATGATTATCAGTCACGTGATCACAGTGAAAATTCTAAACTTTGTTTGACTTCTTTGGCCTTTAACAGTATATAACATATAGACAACAAATATTTTCATGCCAGACCTATGAATCAATAGTATAGTGGTTAGCACTCTATAGATGTAACAAGTTTATCTAAGTCATCCAATGAAAGCATGACTTTATACCTGAAAGTCAGATAACAACTGCTAAAATAGTCTTAGGAAACTAAACTATAGGTATTTTGATGAGATAAACATTCTTTCTTAAGGCTAGAAAAATGTTATCAAATGGATTTTATCAAGAATTTAGACCTCCGGCCATGAAACACCAATAATTTGTTAGAACACATGATATTTCAGATCATATAACTAAATTGCTGATCCCGATGCTCTGAGGTAATGCGAGACCTGAATTACTAATATTATATAAACAAACACCAATAAATTTATAGTAATAGTTATATTTCATTATAATTGTCTTTATTATATTGTTCTTTATTTTATTTTATTTTTCTTTTTATTAATTACATGCATATAATTTTTCAGGAGAACTACTAAGATTATATATATATTATTTCATATATTTTTATTATATTTATTTATATGGGGAAAACATGTATTTAAAGGTTATCTTTTTCCTTTACTAACACCTCAAAGTTGTCTGCTCCTAATTTACATTTAATAAAGTTTTCCTTTAACTAAGATACATAATGATGAAATGACTTCCTAACATTGTATATGTTACATTTGATAGCAGCAAATGCTTCTTTCATTCCCTCTTCTCTTTGAATTTTTCTTTTTTAAGTTTTTCTTGAGAAACAATTTTTCTTTGATAAGGAAGGAATTTTCTTGCTTCATTGTACTTTCTTTTCATGTTACACAAAGTCTCCCAAGGTTATACAAAGGGTGGAAGGATACTTGAAAGTTACACAAAACAAATTTGATGCCATTGTGAAGGTACCATCAGGATTATACAAGAGGAATATTATCATATCATAAAGGTTCAAGATAAGAATCTGAAGATTTTAGAAAAGTAGCACAAAGGTCCACCGAGAAGTTACACAAAGATCTATTAGGCACTTAGGGTTGGTTACTTGATAATTTCATAAATTCACATAAATAACTGTAGATGACCTTAGTTCATTGCAAACGTGGTGACCTATAACATATACTTTCAAGCTGGTCAGCTATGTAGCACCTAGTATAGGATAAAAAAAAACACTCTTCCATACACATCAGATTTTTGAAAATTTTCTTTTTTGGAAATTTTCTTCTTTTGAAAAAAGTGGACTTTCAAGTATTGAGTTTTATTTACAATATGATACCAAAAACTATTTTGACAAAAAACACACAAACACAAGACCAAACAACTATAACAATGTTCCAAACACAACAAAAGAATACAAGAAACATAGAGGTTGATCAACAACAAACTTTATTCAAAAACACTCTCAAAACGAATCTAAGAAGCATAACACCTTCATATAATGACAGATACAAATCAAACGAAGCTAGTACATTCTTCAACAATAGCAACAATATACAATACAAACACAAAAATAGGATAAACATATTAGTTAACACTACACACACACAAACACCTCAAACCAACCAAAATGACAATGAAAGCAACTCATCTATTCCACATAGCTTTAGCAACACAGATAATCAATATGATGACTGGTTCGAAGAAGTACAGGTATTCCAACCTTCTTCTCCTAACGAAACTACTGCATAATAAAACACCTCCTTTACTATAGACAATAAACCAACCGACTGATCTATTGAATATGACAGAAAACATTTTAAAATGTACATTCCTATAGCAGAGATCCCTGGCAAAGATAACGATAGCAAGCTCAAACTTTTACAAAAATTCCTATCAATATTGAAATCATTTACATCAATCAGAATCAATAGATCCCAAGAAGAAAGTAATATTACAGTTCTTTTTGGATCTGAATCAGATACAAACAAAGTCAAAAACATTAAGCTTGATAAAGACACCACTATTCACATGCAACCTTTATCTGTATACAATAGGATTGAAGCCAAAAACAAAACAATCAGAGCATGGGACATATCCCTCAATACCATATTTACAGACATCAGTGCAAGATTCTTCAAATTTGATGAAATTAAATCGATCAAAATACAAACAATAGGTATGTGGCAATCAACCAACATAGAGTCCACAACCAACAATATTATAACAAAGTTAGTAACCGCTGAGCAATCCCTTTCAAAGCTGACTTGATTAGAATTTTTTCATTTCTCAATACGAACCAAATCAAAGAAGAAAGAAGCATATATACACTAAAACTTATCAATCTATTCCAGGCACCACAGGTTTTAACCTCAAAGAAATCATTCAAATGACCAAAGCACAAATATACTACATCCCATGCATTATCACTTATAAAAGAAAGAGATTTGCAGTCCTCAGCTTCAAAGATGAAGAAACTTTCCTTCAAGTCAAACCTTCCTAGGTAATATTGAACTTGCATAGGCAGAACTATTCAAAAAGAACTACAATATCTGCTCAAGCACAAATCACATCCTCAAAGACTGCCCTATCAGAATATGCCAAAAACAATCAGCAGAACAGAAAAAACTCAACACCAAGAAATTTGATTACCTATATGCAAGATTCAAACCAGAGGCATTCCAAAATCAAAAACCAAATCCTTCCTTAGAAAATCATTTGTACAGATAGTAAAAAACAATCAAAAGCTAGCAGAACTACAAAATATAAACCAAATCCTTTATATCAAAAACTCCACACTGAAAGATATCTACAACATTCTCAAACATCTTAGTAATGAAGTTCTTTCAATCAAACAAAATCTCAATACACTTAACCAAAGAATTGACAATCTTGAAGATGAAATGAATGACTTATACAACAATCCACCCGAGGAAGCCCTTCAAGAAACAACTACAATGGTAAATCTAGATAATGAAGATTCTTATAGCACTACTTCTAGCACAGCCAGGAAAAGACATGCCACTAGCCTTGCACAAGATATTAGAGCAGAATAAGAAAAACTTTTCAACCAGATGAACAACTTAGAAAATTCAATTGCCTAAATAACTTTATCCTATAAACAACTCATTGAAATGCAACTTACGCCCACACAAAACACAAACCCCAGAATTTATCAAAACAATGAATAACGATCATCAACCATCAACAAACACATACTTGACAATAATTCCAAATGATTCCTCCTCTTTAATAACTTCTCTTTCACTCCAATCTTTCTCAATCAACAACACACCTAATCACGAAAACATACAAGAAACAAACATTTCTAAATACAATCAAATCCTCTTAATATGAAAAATATGCTCTAGAAACATTAAAGGCTTGTCCATCGAACACAAATGCAAATTATGGTTCGAATACTGCAAAAGCAACAAATGGGACATTATAATTATTACAGAAACCAATGGAAACACTAATACATCTAAATACTGGACATTCAACATATTCAAAACCTCGTGGACACATAACTCAACACATACTGTCAAGGCATGACTATAAGCCTAACCCCACATCTTGCCACCAGAGTCTTCAAACATCAAGAAATCCCAGAAAGACTAATTGCACTTGATCTCTTCTTTCCTAGGAAAAAGTTTGTCAGAATCATAGGTATCTATATCCCACCCTCCAACCATCCTTAAAACATCAATCTACAAAAAATACAAAGACCTCATTATAGAAGCATACAACAAAAACTGGTCAATAATAATTGAAGGAAATTTCAATGAAGTCACCAATCCCTCAATGGACAAACAATCACCCAATTATTAACCAAACAACAAAACACCCAGTAACTTCATCAACTTTCTTCAAGAATATAACTTTTTAGACTTGTTCGAAGAAATAAATCCATACAACAAAGAATTTATCTGGCACAACTCCAGAAACCAACACAGCAGAATCGATCAAATCTGGATATCTGAAAAAGAAACTTGGAACCTAACAGAAGCCTACATCGACAAAAACACAGCACCTTTAATAAACAGTGACTATGAGGCTACAATATGTCACCTAGAAATATGACAACTCACCATACTAATTTATCAAATACATACAGTATACACAGGAAAAGCTGATACAATTGACTCCACACTTCAGAGAAAAACTAGTAGAAATTTCAACAATCAATTGAAACAGCAATCTCAAAATACAAAATCACATCTAGTACAACCAATACTCATAGAATTTCCTAAAAGACACCATTCTAAAAGCAGTGAATAAATTTATTAAAAAGATCAAAATCACAAAAGAATCTCTCAAGATTCAACTACTACCTCCCCAGCACTCAACAAAATCACAAATCTACTCAAAATTCTTCAACTAGCAAAACAGGTCAAACAAATATCATATAAATTCAACATAACTAAACTACAAGAGCATACAACTTCACTTCAAACAACTTTTCCCCAAATACCTGAATTATCCACTATTAGCATAATCTCTATCCAAAACCCAGAACTCAATCACTGGATTTAAGAACTCAATGCAATCATAATCAAACTGAAATTAGCACTCCAAATAGTCATCAAATACAAAACAAAACAAAGAATCACAATGGCAATCAATATTCAGGAGACTGCAACACATGAACAATAACAAACACGCAATGATTAGCAGCATTTTAGAAAAACCACACAGGCATATCACCCTGAACAAAATCATAATAGAAGATGCCATTCCAAAAATAATAATCGAACTATCCCAAATTAAAGACACAGTCAAAATACACTATCACCAATGGACAGCAAAAAAAAAACACTCAAATATTTGTCCAATGGCCAAAATGAATACAGGAATACACACCTAGACCAAATATTGACAAAAAATGGTACAACTACACAACACATTCTATTACAAAATATGAGATACTCAAAATCATTTATTCCAGAAGCAACACATCATCCCCAGGCCCCTCAGAAATTCCATATATCGTCTTCAAAAAACTTGGTTCCAAAGCAATCTTATTTTTCACAAAGCTTTGTAACAATATTCTCAAAATACAGATAATTCCTAATGACTGGAAACAAGGAAATTTGATCCCAATCCCTAAACCTCAAGAATGGAACAACAACCTCAGGATTACTAGATCAATTAAACTTTTAGAAACTGGTAAAAAAATATTTACAAAATGCATCAATGATAGACTGACCAAAGTCTTAATCAAATACAATATTCTCTCTCAACACAATTGAGCATCATTACCAGACTACAGTACTCAAGAACTGATTCACATCATTCAGAACATTATAAAACATGCCAAATCGAACTCACAACAAGCTTGGATTTTTAGCAAAAACATGCAAAAAGCCTATGACTCAGTACCAACTATGATGCTTATCAAGGTACTAAGAAAAATCAAAATCTTCTCAACTATTATAAACATCATATCAAACCTTCTCTCATCTTGCAATAATACAGTTTTCACACTATTTAGTTCTACTGAACCATAGCTAGTGAAAGATGGCATTAATCAAGGAGACACGATCTCACCATTGGTTGGTGAATTTTTTACAACCCACTTTTATCTAGAATAGCAATTGCATATAAAGACTATACAATAACAACCAAAACCTGTGATGACATAAAACAAGGATGGACTCTGAAAACCACCAACATCCCAGCATGCACCTACATGGATGAAACCACATGGATTGCAAACAATCAATATAAATTTCAAAACATTTTGAACATTGCAACCTCATTTTATAAACTCAATGACATTCAAATCAACCTGGCTAAATCAGCACTTCTCATCATTAATGGCACATAACAAGACAGAGACCAAGGGACAGTTCTTCAGAATCAAATCATTAAAGGCCTCGTCCCTACCACCCCAATCAGAATACTAGGTACATGATACTGTGCAAAAGGTAATAAATGACACCAAACATTACTTATTAAAACTAAAGCAAATAAAATTGCAAAACTAATTAGATCAAAGAAAATCCCAGACAAACAAAGCAGATATATCCTTAATCACATCCTAATTCCAAGTCTGAAATACTTTCTTAATGATATGGTTCTATCCAATTAAAAATGTCAACAAATAATGTCAAAAACCCTTACAACATTCAAACACAAAATAGGATTTGCAAACACAGTTCTCAACAACACTCTCTTCAGCAAATATGAATACAACTTAATCAATCTTTATAAAAGACAAATTCAAATGCACTTATCCAACTTCCTTTCCAGAATTAATAGCAACAACCTTACTGGCATTACAATATGCTACAGACTTCAAGATACCCAAAACTCTTTCTGATTACCTTCACCAGTCACCTATCATATCAATAACAAAATCCTACTAACTGGTACTAATATTATACATGATATTATCTGGGAAACTAGGAAATCTGGAATTCAATTTAATATGCCACCAGACATAATTATCCTCAAACAACTAGAAGACATAATGGAACAACACTCAAGCATGCCATGGTCGAACAACCTGAGACACAAATTATCTAAAAACAATCTAATGTTCATCAGACAAATGCTGAATGAGGACTGCACAAAAACATTCTCCTGGCCACAATTATATGCTAAGGCTAGAAACCAGCACATAGGAAAAGAATCATATTGATACATAAATATTAGTTCTATACTTCAAGCGCTCTTAGACCTAGACTTACTTGACTGTTGTGACACACAAAACATCTTCCATCAATACATTCCAGGTTCAACAGCAAAGATCCACTAACACTACTGGGCAATCATACTCAACAAAAACAACAAATCCATAGGCAAAAGACTTAAAAATACATATAATCACATAATCTACACACACTACAAAAGAATTGTAGGAGACTCACCAATCACTCCCTGCAAAGGCTGCCAACTAAATTAAAATCACTCAACAGCCAAGAAATGCACCTTCTCTTCCCAAAGATCAGAAATCATACAAATTCCTGTCCACAAAACCAAACGTGACAACAATAATACATCTAATCCAAACTCACACCTCAGAATCAGGATATCACCACATAGTACATTTCAAGTACACACACTCAACAAAGCCACAAATTCTGAATCACTACCACCCCACCAACAGTCTTAATCCCTTCAAACACCCGTCACATCACCAAGATCCACAGATACTGGCAAAGAAACTCCAATATAATTAAAGACCTGATAGACATTGCAAATCAAATCAAAAACTTAAACCATCTATCCGCATATACAAATAAATTATTATCGTGGCACAACAACAAACAATATATGGAAATTAATGAACCATTCAGTATGGAAAAGCAAATATAACCTTATTCAAAAGTCAAATTAGTGCATTCCCATCATCCACAAGAGCAGAACTGGCTGCAATTCTTTCACTCCTTATAGTATTACTCAAAAAAACAGATATTTACATCCATACAAACAGTTAAGCAGCAATACAGGCAATAAATCAAGCCAGCAACCTTCCAATCCTCTCATTGATTTGTAAAAGTAAAAACTGGTCACTTACTTTAGCAATTATAGAATACAGCAAAACATTTCAAATTCCACTAATTTTTCACAAAGTAAAAGCACACACTGGAATTTAAGGCAACGAAGAAGCAGACCAACTAGTCAAAATCGACTGCAGAAACATGAATCCAGGCACAAGAATAATCTTTATTAACCTATACCTTTTTGCAAACTGGAGTTTTGCAAAATGAGAGAATGAAATTATAGACATTTTAATTAAAGAATTCTGCAAACTCATCTTCATATTGCACAATAGAGCCTTCTACATAGAAATCATACATAGATTAATTACACCTCATAGAAGCTCACCAACTGGAAAGCAACATTCAAAAATATCAACCCCAGCAACATAAACCAGGGGATTACAACATCTGAAGATCAGGCACAAAGAAGGTTCCAGATTAATCTATGAGACCAAGAACTCTCAACAGTGAGCAAACTATTTAAAAGAAATTCCACTACATATAAACAAAACACATGTATGATATATCCAGATATTGAAGACAACTTCCATGCACTTATATACACAACACCTCTAGACACACATATAGAATACCTGAAAAGAATAATCCCAATACTAATAAGCACAGAAGGCAATCAACAAAAGAAAAGATAAACATGATAGAAAATATACATAATGTTTCAAAAAATCTCACCAATCACAATTGAAAAACTCATTAAAGGACAGATCAGTACAGAACTGATCAAAGAAATTAACAATCTCGTATATCATCTTCACATTCAAAAAAAGTGGCTACACATAATATGCCAAGAATTCAAAGTACATCTGGGAAAAACATGGAAAAACAAATGCATAATCATGAGCAACTGGGAAAAAGTCAATAGAATTTTTGCCAGAAATAAACAGCTTCATAAAACTACTCAAAAAAGAAACTCTAGCAATCAAGATCAAATAAATAAAGAAATTATTCAGGATCAAAGAATCAAAGACATGTTTTTACTTCTGATCAACTGCTTTATAGATAGACACTTTAAAGGATACACAGGTTTATTTTTTATAATTTATCTTTCTCTTTTTATTAACACTAAAACGACCTCCTTGGCATGTTAGGCCTTACAGGGTGGTAACAAGCTGATCGGTAAGAAAACTTTCTTTCTTTAAATAGCAGAATTAGTAATGAGAAATTAGTTATAAATGCATACAAAATGTACACAACAAACTTTTTAACAAATAAAGTAAGGATAAGCCAGTTTAAAAAAAAAATCCACAAAAAATCATAATAGAAGCACATAACAAAAACTGGTTAATAATAATTGAAGGAGATTTTAATGAAGTGGCCAACTCCTCTATGGATTACCAATCCCCCAACTAGCAATCAAACTATAGATCACCAAGCAATTTCATTAATTTTTTTCAAGAAAATAACTTAATAGACTCATTCAGAGAAATAAACCTATATACCAAAGAATTTACTTGGCATAATTCCAGAAACCAATATAGCAGAATCGATTAAATCTGGGTTTTTACAAAAGAAATTTGGAATCTAACAGAAGTCTACATAGACAAAAACATCATTAATAAATAGCAACCATAAAACTACAATTTGCTATCTAGAAACATGGCAACTTACAATACCATCTCACCATATACACTCAAACAGAAAATGCAAATACAACTGGCTTTATACCTTAAAGAAAAACTGGCAGAAATTCCAACAAGCAATCAAAGCAACAATTTCAAAACACAAAATCATATCCAGGACAAATAACAATCAATGAAATTTCTTTAAAGACATCATTTTGAAACCAACAAACGAATTTTTTAAAAAGATCAAACACCATAGCAGATTTATTCCTAACCAGACCATATCATCTCCAATCCTCAACAAAATAATTGATATACTCAAACTTACAAGAGCAAACAATTTCTCTGCAAGCAACCTTCCCTCAAATATCAAAACTATCAACTATTAGCATAAACACTACCCAGAATATAGAACTCAACAACTGGATTCAAAAACTCAACTCAATTTTAATCAAACTCAAAACAGTGCACCAAATAATCAACAAACATAAAACAAAATAAAGAATCACAACAGCAATATCCAGGAGACTACAATACATGAACAATAACAAATACACAATATCAATAGTATTTTAG